GCGGTTGTGCCTTTGTGATTGTGTGTTTGTAGTTGTGGTTGTGGTTGTGTCTTTGTGATTGTGTGTTTGTAGTTGTGTTTGCGGTTGTGTGTTTGTGGTTGTGTTTGTGGTAGTGGTAGTGGTTGCGATTATGTGTTTGTAGTTGTGGTTGTGGTTGTGTCTTTGTGATTATGTGTTTGTAGTTGTGGTTGTGGTTGTGTCTTTGTGATTGTGTTTGTACTTGTGGTTGTGGTTGTGTGTTTGTGGTTGTGTTTGTGGTTGTGTGTTTGTGTGTTTGTGGTTGTGTGTTTGTGGTTGTGTGTTTGTGGTGGCGGTAGTGGTTGTGATTGTGTGTTTGTAGTTGTGGTTGTGGTTGCGGTTGTGTCTTTGTGATTGTGTGTTTGTAGTTGTGGTTGTGGTTGTGTCTTTGTGATTGTGTGTTTGTAGTTGTGTTTGCGGTTGTGTGTTTGTGGATGTGTTTGCGGTTGTGTTTGTGGTAGTGGTAGTGGTTGTGATTATGTGTTTGTAGTTGTGGTTGTGGTTGTGTCTTTGTGATTATGTGTTTGTAGTTGTGGTTGTGGTTGTGGTTGTGTCTTTGTGATTGTGTGTTTGTACTTGTGGTTGTGGTTGTGTGTTTGTGGTTGTGTTTGTGGTTGTGGTTGTGTCTTTGTGATTGTGTGTTTGTACTTGTGGTTGTGGTTGTGTGTTTGTGGTTGTGTTTGTGGATGTGTTTGTGGTTGTGGTTGTGTGTTTGTGGTTGCGTGTTTGTGTGTTTGTGGTTGTGTGTTTGTGGTTGTGTGTTTGTGGTTGCGTGTTTGTGATTGTGTTTGTGCTTGTGTTTGTGGTTGCGTGTTCGTGGTTGTGTGTTTGTGGGTGTGTGTTTGTGGTTTTGTGTTTGCGCTTATGCGTTTGTGATTATGTCTTTGTAGTTGTGTTTGTCGTTGTGTGTTTGTGATTGTGTTTGTGATTGTGGGTTTGTGATTGTGTTTGTGGTTGTGCGTTTGTGGTTGCGCGTTTGTGGTCGTGTGTTTGTGATTGTGTGTTTGTGGATTTTATCTGGCAAACTATCTGGTTGAGGTCCAGCGGTGCACACTGCGATCGGATCCTTGCGGTTGAGGTCCAGCGGTGCACACTGCGATCGGATCCTTGCGGTTGAGGTCCAG